GTATGGACTCCGGAAGCACTTACTGCCTTTGACACCCTGAAGGTTGCATTCGCTTCAGCACCTATCCTAGTCCATCCGGATCCATCACTCCCTTTTCTTTTGGAGGTAGATGCATCCGATATGGATGTAGGGGTTATTCTCTCCCAACGTTTGTCTCCTGATCAACCCCTACATCCGTGTGGATTCTTTTCTGAGAAACTTTCTAAATCGGAGAAGAATTAGGAGATAGGGAACTCTTGGCAATTGTACTGGACCTCAAAGAATGGCATCATTTGTTAGAAGGCTCTTCCACCCCTGTTACGATCTTGACAGATCATAAAAACCTATCATACATGAGTGAGGCCAAGAGACTAACAGACACGGTGGTCTTTGTTTTTCTCACGTTTTAACTTTGTACTTATTTATAGACCAGGTACCAACAATACCAAAGTAGATGCATTATCTTGTCAATTTGAACCTACCTTTCCCACAGTGGAAGAAGTAGCTCCTGTTATCCCTAAAAACAAGATTATAGCAGTTACCCAACTCAACATTATTCAGATCTCATTAGGTCTTTTTAAAAGACGTACAAAACGTAGCACCTTGTCAGACTCCACAGGATAGGCTGTTCGTCCTTTCTGAATTCCGTAGAGAGGTCATAGACTTATGCCACGATAACAAGACCGCTGGCCATCCTAGAACCAAGAAGACCAGTGATCTCATTGCTGCTCAGTTTTGGTGGCCTTCTATTAGGCAGGATGTTAAGGATTATGTGCAAACTTGTCACGTATGTGCCCGATCTAAAACCCCACATGTCTTTCCCTGCTGTCTGTTGCAACCTTTGGACATACCTAAAAAAACCCTGGTCTAGCATATCCATTGATTTTATAGTAGATTTACCTAAATCGGAGGGCCATAATATTGTCTTAACTATCATGGATAGGTTTTCCAAGATGGTACATTTTGTGTCCTTGCCTAAGCTTCCCTCGTCTATCGAATTAGCGGATATGTTTGCTAGAGAAGTATTCCACTTACATGGCATTCCAGAAGAGATAGTGTCCCATAGAGGTCCTCAATTTATCTCTCGATTCTGGAAGGCATTTACTAACCAACTAGGTATCAAGTTATGTCATTCTTCAGCCTATCACCATCAATCTAATGGTGCTGCTGAGAGGACTAACCAATCCTTGGAACAGTACCTACATTGTTTTAACTCTGACAACCAGGATAACTGGGCGACACTGCTTCCTGGGCTGAGTTTGCTCACAATTGTACCCAACGAGAGTCCATGAGCTGCAGTCCTTTTTACCTCAACTATGGCTTCCATCCTTCTGTTCATCCGGCTGTCTTTCCTTCATTGGAGATACCGTCTGTAAAGGACTATTTGGGTGACCAGAGAGTCACGTGGGAGCAACATATCCTGACTCATAAAGTAGCCTTGCAGAAAAAATACGCCGACAGACACCGACAAGCAGCTCCGACTTCTCAAGTGAGTGATAGGGTTTGGCTCAGTACCAAGAATATCAATCTGAAAGTGCCTTTCAAGAAATTGGATCCTCGTTACATAGACCCCTGTCAGATATTGAGACGTGTGACCCCAGGTTCGTATAGGTTACAATTTCCCTCTGCTTTGCGTATCCCTAATACCTTTCATGTTTCGTTATTGAAACCCCTTTCTTGCAATAAGTTCACTGGACCATTTTTTTGCTCCTGTTGTGGTGGAAGTGGGCGGTTCAAGAGGGGGGGGGGGGTTATGTAAGCCTTCAGCCACTTACCTTATCGGTCTGCCTATCTGCTGACATCGGGATTGGTTGGACCGCCGCTCCCACGCCGGGAAAGGATGCATTAAGTATCAGGGACGCCGGCCACTATGCGCCCGCCCCTTTCAAAGAGGCGGGACATGTGTATGACGCCATGAGTTTGGAAGAGCTCTAAACAAGAAAGCTCAATGAACACGTACCTTTTGGGGGAGTGCTTATGATAATCGCACCCCCAATCATATCAGTGCCCTGTTGTGGTTCCTAGTGTGCCTTGTGTTCCTAGTGTCCCCTCAGCACGTTCCTGTATTCTTTTGATCGTTCTTTGGTTTTTGACCTGGCTTGCTCTTGACTATTCTTATTTCTGGTTTCCCTGACTCGGCTATGTTCCTCGCTATTGTGTATTTCTGGCTTCCCTTGACCTTGGCTTGTTTCTGGCATTTCTTGTAGTTTCTATTTTATCTGGCCATTCTAAAGACCGGTTTAGGGACTTTCTTTCTGTCTCTGTTCTGGTGGTTTTTACTCTGCGTATTGGGTTTTAACGTTACAGACAGCATGCTTCTGTGTTGCCTGGGAGCTGGCTCATTTCCCTCTTTGCAGTAATATTTATGGGAAAAGTGGTATAAATGATCTCAATTTGTACAGTATGTCTTGTTTTAAAATATACTCAGATCATTACTTATTCTCCTTCAGTCAGGTAGCTAAAATTTAGTCTTATGACTATTGAGCCTAAATGGCTCCAATACGTCACTGGTGGTGGAGAGGTAATATTTTTTCAAATTCCCTTGTATGTCTAGCTCTGACGGACATGGAAGGTTTCAGCAAAGCTTTATTTTCAGAAACATAAACCAATAACAAGAGGAGGGGAGGGGGAGAGGTTGTGCCTTATTTTTCGTGTTTTGTTGTAAAATTAATTCTTGGTTACAACAGACAAAAAGGGGAAATGCATATCTTATTTTGTGCATTTTAGGTAATGATTTTCTGGCCTTCTTGGAGATTACAAGATCTAAAGGTCAGTGCACTTGTAGCAGCATCCAAGGTGTGTCTATTGTTTTTGTGTAACATTTATGTGGTGCGTCACTTCTTTTGTGTGATAAATGTTAATCTGCCTTTGTTTATATCAATTAAGGAGTATAAAGGGCTAGTATTTCATTATTTAAGAGGCATCCAGCTAAGCAACATGTGAATAATTTTAGTGAATCATTGTAAGGGGTTATAATATGATTTAAATTGAACTTAAGTATAGAGAACTAGAGTATTATCTTTATGATTAGTTGCATAGCAGTTTTTTCTACTCTATACTCTATACACTATAAGACACCACACTACACAAAACATTAACCCATACAACAGGGCCGACATCAGGGGGTGACAACCATGATGGTTGTCACAGGCCCAGCAGTCCTGGGGGGCCCAGACTGCATTGCTAATGCTCTGCGTCACTCAGCAGGAAGCTGTTTTTTTTCAGACAGCACAGTTAGAATGTCACGTAGAACTAAACATTTTTTTAAAATTCTTATTTTCTCCCATTTTTTTATATTTTATTCATATTAAATTATGTTTTATAGCTAAATATTTGATGTCAAATGAAAGCCCTGTTTCCCCTGAATAAAATGATATATAATAAGTGTGGGTGCACATAATATGAAAGAGGTGAATTACACCTGAACAGACATATAGCGCAAATTCAAGTTTTTGTTTACGTTTTTTGTTTTGATCACAACTTGTACATTTGGCTCCGTCCTTGAGGGGTTAAATTAATTCATATGAATCCATTTCATTTATATCATTTCGTTTAAATCAATTTGTACGAATCCATTTCGTTTATATCATTTCGTTTATATCAGTTCATATGAATCCAGTTCATTTATATCATTTCGTTAAAACATTCATCTAAAAGCCTTTTATTTAATTTCCATTCATGTAAACCTTTCGTTTAAATTCCTTTAATTCAAATCCATTTCGTTTAATACTATTCATAAAAATATTTTGTTTAAATCACGGAAATTGTTCCCCTGTTTCTTACACTTAGTGTGTGCACCGTGTCATGACCATGTCATTTATAAGTTGGCTATATCATATGCCGTTAAAAACCCTAGCATACTTAAAGACTACCACTGTTATTTGTTTCTACGATTTGTTACTATTCCTAAATATTAATTAAAATATCACAGACACTTCCCTTTGTTCTTGCACATATATGTAGGTTAATTCGCTGGATTTTACGAGCCAGGCACATTACTTTCCTGCACCAGCCTGCCCAAGTTACTTACACAATAAACTCCACCCGCACGGTTATAAGGTGGCTCACAAATCATTTGGATTTCCTCACAGGATACTATTTTCAATAATCTGTCATTTTATCTTACATCTGTTAGCTCAAACACAATTACATACTAAGCCATATTATATATACATTTTTTTTCCTTTGCACAGTACTTATAGTGTCCTTATATCATACGTGTATTTTAGGTGCCTGTTTCTAGGATCAACAAATTCCTGGTTCAACCTGGGACAACATTGTTCTTCCGGCCAACTTTGTTTCAGGTATCTCCATTTCCTTATGCTCATTTCCTTACGCTCATATTCAATCATAACCGGTACATCAAGGCCTCGTACTGCCTTTTATGTTTACACGTCAATGCTCCGTATAGGGGCTTGTTTTATTACATCTCACGTTCTTTCAGGAACCTCTATACGATATCTTACAAATCTCCTGTTGTGTTATCTATTCCAGCTTTGACAAACTTTAGACACATAGGGCTACTACAAAACCTATCAAAAAAGAAGAAAAAACGAATATGTTCGTTCTGTTTTACATTTATACATAACTACTTATCACACATCCCAATTTTTTTTTTCAGGTGCACATTAGAGACTCCTATCCCATAAGAGTTCTCTCTTAGGCTAACTTAAGGGTACATTTATATGTATATTCACTGGGTTAACCACTACTCCACTTATCATTAGTTTATTAATTCATCCTCTTTCAAAATAGGCATCTTTAATCCTGCATCATCCCTCCAGCTTCCACTCAGGGTCTTTCTTATCTGGTTATTAGGTACGTACGGTTAAGTTTACGCTGGTTTCCTATAAGACAAGCCCCAGCCAGAGATAGAGAACTGGCTGCAAGGGACAGGACCTGGCCCTAATACTTTAAATTCTAGTTCCCATGAGGCCCCACACCCACCTCATATGGAGGTATCGCCCACACGGCCCACGTTAGTGAAAGGACCTCATATCCCCTTCTACAGGGGTTGGTTTAGAATGTCACATGCCACGGCCAAAAGTTTTTTCTCTATACTGTCACCGAGACTCCAACATCCCACAACATCGTTCGGTGGCCACATTTCCCCACGGGCCAAATCATTGGTAGAGCCTCTCCGCGCCACTTGGCAACTAGCAGGGATTCACCTATCACGGTTAGTTAAGTTCTTCGCCACTGGTACTAGCTAGCAAGCCAGTCCTATACAGTATTTCACCTGTGGCTCAAACATTTTGTGTTTGCTAATCTCTTCATAGAATGTCGCAAGAATCACTCCATGATGACAACTTGTCTCTCCAGAGTCCCCTCCCCCCCCCACCCCCCGGGCCCAGTACACCTATTAGACCTATCTCACCAGCCGTATCCCTCGTAACCACTACCCCTGGATCTATGAGATCCTGGACCATCCTTAAATTGGTGGCAGAACTACGCCGTAGGAATGTTTCCTTCCCCGCCACAGCAAGGAAAGCAGAACTCTTTAAGTTATTATCCGTCCAGTCCAATGATCCCAGGCCTGGCACAAGTTCTCAGGAGCCTAATGTCAGCCATTTGGGACAGTTTCAAGACACTTTGTCATCCATCTTGTCCACCCTTCAGTCACTTAATGAGAGGATCACCAAGATAGAAACCATAATCCATGGTTACCTCCGCAGTTCACACTCCAAGCCCAGCACCTGCACCTCCAAACACGCAAGGTAGGGAAATTACTGTCACTCCCTCCACTTCTCACAGTGTCAACCCTGTTAATTCCGTTCCAGCTTCCATTAGGAAAGACATTCTGGATGGCAAGGATGTTAGCCTAGTCTGTCTCCTCAAAGCTTCTCAGGATATTCTAGAGAATAGAGCTTTTAGTTTTGGAGAGATGTCGGTGTTCCTCAAAACTAGTGACCCACGTCTCAATAAAAAGCTCTCCATCCCCGAATTCGTTCTCTGCTTCGGACTAGACAGGGATGTCATCTGCTCTGTATAACCTCAGAAGCGAGAGGAATTTGACCTCTACCTACACAAGGTGGAGGACTTAGGGCACAAGTACGGGGGTTTCGCCTTCTATGACTATCACAGGTCAATTTCATCTAATGCAGCAGTGGCTCTGGCCCAGTTCAACACCCGCATCGATTGGAGTCAGTTGGACACAGAGTTGTTCTGTGGGCATTTCACTGGCTTGAGACCCCCGTCTTGTGCAGTTTGCTCCTCTATCTCACACTCCTCCAATTTTTGTCCCTGCGAAGCAGAACACTCTACATACCACCCCTCCGTCAGTCAGGATAGGGGACAGAGAGATAAGCTGGGCAGACCAGTAGTATTCCTGGGCAAGGCACAAATATGTAACAACTTTAATGCTGGAGCATGTAACTACAATGCCTGCAGGTTGTTGCACATTTGCTCCATCTGCTTCAGGGCACATACAAAAGCCATGTGCCCTTCTAAGCTTTTCCCTAGGAAATGACTGATGGAGGAAAAAACACTGACACCTTAGTTAGCATTTACATACCCACCCCTCCCCTCACCTGGTGCAATATTCTATTTCTGGTTTTGCTGTGGGTTTCCACACCGGGTTAGTAGCACTCCCAACAGGCTCTGGTAGTCCTAAAATGTTCTCTCTGCAAAAACTACTCATCTGCCATTGACAAGTTGCTACGGAGAGAGACCCATCAGAATTTATGCTCGGTCCTTTCCACAAACTCCCTGTTTCTACATGGCAATCTATCCCTATGGGTAGGGTTACCAACAACACCTCTAATAAAACTCTTTTGATTATCGATTTGTCAGCTCCTCATTCTCCAGAGTAAGACAAATATAATTAACATCTCTAAGATTACTACCAATCCATCTGTTTCTCTGGCATACACATGGCATTCAATGAAGGGAAATTATTTCCTCGCCACTAGACTCACGTTTCAGCTTCAGGAGCAGCCCAAAGCTGTTCGTTACATTTGCAGGAATTCTGAATATGGTCAGATGCCCCGCAACCATAAACAATTGGTCGAATTTACCAATCAGGTAGGACCCCTCACTCCACGTAGTATCTTTAGCCACTGCACTGATTTCGGCACTAGGTGCCCCATTGTCCAATGTCATACAACAGGCCACAAGACATTTGGTATTTCCGGGTAGGACCCCTCCCTCCACGTAGTATCTTTAGCCACTGCACTGATTTCGGCACTAGGTGCCCCATTCTCTAATGTCATACAACAGGCCACAAGACATTTGGTATTTCCGGGTATCTCACTCGACCCATTGTCCAGTCAGGCACACCTCCCCATTGTGAAGTTGGTATGCATCAGTCAAGAACTGGACCAGTTCCTCCAAAGGTTCTAGTACTCGTGGGGACCCCCAGTCCCTAATGGGATACCTAAGTTTGCGATGCGTATCATTTCACAAAGGAGATCCTGCTTTTCCAAGCTACTCACTCCTCCCCGGCAGACCAGACGATGGCACCATAGCCCTCAACCACTAGCCATAACCAATTTAATCATGGGGTAGCTCTTCCCAGCAGAGCAGAACAGCATAGCTATGTTCATTCCCCCACTGACCGAGGACTCTCCTGTTAAGTCCACGCAGCAGGTCACTCGTGCTAGGCTACAATCTCTGGACCGGTAAGGCAGTCAAGCATTTTCTCAGATTTAGCATCTTGCATAATCATTAATAAGGGCACGCTTCCTACTCAAACATTACACGGTTAATACAGTATTGACGTGGATGGCCACCAAACTACAGTTCTTATAGCATGCAAACACATTTCCGGAATCCATTATATGGCCGCTGACGCTTTGTCCCATCTAACTTTCAGGCATTCTGCAAGGTTTATCCCGTCACCAACCAGCACCCATCCAGAATACCGATATTGCCAGAGTTAACTATGGATTGACTAGATTGTTGACCCACGCACGGTCACTCTCACGTAACGCTTTGTCTACCAACACCAAAACAGCCTACGACAGGGCTTTGACTGTGTTTCACAAATTTTGTTGGGAGTTCCACGTTTCAGAGAATTATTCTATCCAGACCATGGTGGCTTTTGCCTCTTTTTGCCATCTAAACCTTAAATTAGCACATAACTCTATTAAATTATATCTTACAGGTTTACAGTACCACGTCCTCACTACCTTTCCCAATCACCCACCTTTTCTTTCCACGTACCCTATCAAATCTATTCTCAAAGTCATCAACAAAATAGATCGACCTCCAACTACCAATAGACGATACCATATTCAGGAACATGTCAGACTTATTGGACACAAATCCCTTTAACACCCAGACTAACTCTTTCATCAAAGTAGCCATATACCTCGCTTTCTACGGCTTCCTCAGACCCCAAGAGTTTACTGTGATACGTCAAACGGATATCAGATCCTGTTTAAAACTATCGTACATAACCAAACACGGTGACCATTACGTGGTATCAATACACTCATCTAAAACCAATCACACAAACTACCCTAATACAATCCCTCTGTTTCCTACAGAGAACCTCTGGTGTCCCGTTAAAATGCTTGACTTATTTCTATCCACAAACTTAAGTCTCCCATCTAACCCGCCCCTACTACTTCTTCACAGACACCCACTTACCACTTCAAAATTCACAAACCACGTTAGAACACTAGTGCTAAGATTGGGACATAACCCGGCCGCTGCTTCCGGTCATTCATTCAGAATTGGGGCAGCCTCCAGCACGGACATTCCAGTCCATATTATCAAAAGACTGGGCAGCTGGAAATCCTCGGTTTACAGCACTTATATTCCACATCCTGAGAAAGAAATCAGGAAAGCATTCAAAGGTCTAGCGTTGTAAATTATGAATAAAGTGTGTTTTCTGCAATATCTTTTGCCCTCTTTATTACAGGCCTACTCATATGTTGGTTTTGGCACACCACTACCAACTTTCCCCCCTCTTCTATATTTTCATATACGAATTAAGTTCCGAATACAAGTAAAAGGCCATAGGCCTGAATTTGTGGAAAGAGTTTTCCCTATAAAAGCTATACCCCGCTGCTTACCTATGCTGGTTCCTGTTAGAGTGACCCCTCCCACCACTCCCTCTAATAAACTTACTATCATCATTACATTACCTCTGGTGGGCCCTCTTTATTACAGGCTTACCCGTACGTTGGTTTCGGCACATCACTACCAACTTTTCCCCCTCTTCTCTATTTTCATATACGAATTATGTTCCGACTACATATATGTATATGCCTCTGCGGGCCCTGTTGGCTTCACACTCACCTCCCTCTCTGGCGCTGTGGCTGTAAAGCTTTGCCACGAGTTGCCATGTTAACGCTCCGCAGCAATGCATGCAGGGCTCATGACAAAAGCAGAGCCTTTGCTGGCCCAACCAGCTGACTCAACGACCAGACCACCAGGGAATCCAGTGTCTCCCTCCCTAGCTACAGGTAAGAGGCAGGTGGGGGGGAGATATTATTATTTTTTTTTAATAATACAAGTTAAAAGAAAAAAAAAATACCCTCACTGCATATGTCAAACATAAAGACACATCCACCACACATACACACACACACACCATCCACTACACAAACTGCATTCACTCCACAAATACACACAGCATTCTCTACACAAACAGACACACTGCATTCAACATACACACATCATCCACTACACAAACAAACTTTCCATTTACTACACACACTCTGCAATCACTATACACACTTCATCTATTACACACAAACACTACATCCACAGCACAAACATACACTCTGCATTTATTAAACACACTACATCCACTATGCACATTACATACACTATATCCACTACACAAACACACAATCTGCATGCACTATAAACACTGCATCCACAACACACACACACTACAACCACTTTACTCAAGAACTTTGCATCCACTACACATACACTAAATTCAGTACACACACTTCACCCTTGTGGGTGGCCTTAGGGGCAGGCCATGTAGGTGGACTTGGGGGCAGCCATGTAGGCAGGCTCAGAGGTGGGCCTCTGGGGACCCAGACTTTGGGCTGCGTCACGGGCCCCAAAATTTCTGATGGCTCTCTGCCATACTCTACCCTAGCACAATAACCCTTCGACTGATGAAATGTGCCTAGGGATCTGTACTGTTGTGGTTCTGGTGCTTTTTCGTTCTTATTTTTTCTTTCATTAATCTTCTAGGTCAGAGCTCACCACAGGTTATTTTGGAGCATTTCGGCCAGCCCCAAACAGGCAGACGTGCAAACCATGGAAATGCTTGG